AGGGAATAGTCGGAGGGCTATTTCCTGAATGAATTAGGGTATTGAGGGGTCTGGATTTTGGCCAGAAAGTCTAGTTGAATAGGAGAACTGATGGTGTTTGGTGTGCAGCAGCAGTCAAAAAAAGCAAACTGAATGTTAGGAATCATTAAAAAAGGATAGATAATAAAAGAGAATATCTTATTGCCTCTACATAAAACCATGGTACGCCCAATTCTTGAATACAGTTGTGGTCACCTCATCTCAAAAAAAGTTCTCAGCATTGGAAAGAGTTAAGAAAAGGGCAATAAAATAATATTAGGAGTTTGGAACAGGTCTCATATGAAGAGAGATTATAAAGACTTGGATTTTTCATTTTAGAAAAGAGGAGACTAAGGGAGGATATGATAGAGGTCTATAAAATCATGACTGGTGTAGAAAAAAAGCAAATAAGGATAAGTTATTTCTATAGTCCCACAATATAAGAACTAGGGGGCCACCAAATTAATAGGCAACAGGTTTAAAACAAACAAAAGGAAGTTTTTCTTCACACAGCACACAGTCAACCTGTGGAACTTCTTACCAGAGGATGTGGTAAAAACTAGGACTTTAAAAGAGTTCAAAAGGAAGCTACAGATGGGTCAGTTTAACGTCTGTCCCAGGGAAGATAATGGAGCAGGTAATTAAGGAAATCATATGCAAACACTTGGAAGGTAATAAAGTGATAGGGAATAGCCAGCATGGGTTTGTGAAGAACAAGTCATGCCAAACTAATCTGATAGCTTTCTTTGATAAGATAACGAGCCTTGTGGATAAGGGAGAAGCGGTGGATGTCATATACCTAGACTTTAGTAAGGCATTTGATACAGTCTCGCATGATATTCTTATTGATAAACTAGGCAAATATAACTTAGATAGGGCCACAATAAGATGGGTGCATAATTGGCTGGATAACCGTAGTCAGAGAGTGGTTGTTAACGGTGCTAAATCCTGCTGGAAAGGGATAACAAGTGGAGTTCCTCAAGGGTCTGTTTTGGGACCCATACTGTTCAATATCTTCATCAATGATGTAGATATTGGGATAGAGAGTACGCTTATTAAGTTTGCAGATGATACCAAACTGGGTGGGGTTGCAACTTCTTTGGAGGATAGGGACATAATTCAAAATGACCTTAGCAAGTTAGAGAAATGGTCAGAGGTAAACAGGATGAGGTTTAATAAAGAGAAATGCAAAGTGCTCCACTTAGGAAGGAACAATCAGTTCCATACATACAAGATGGGAAGCGACTGTCTAGGAAGGAGCATGGCGGAAAGAGATCTAGGGGTCATAGTGGACCACAAGTTGAATATGAGTCAACAGTGTGATGCTGTTGCAAAAAAAGCAAATATGATTCTAGGTTGTATCAACAGGTGTGTTGTAAGCAAAACTCGTGAAGTCATTCTGCCGCTCTACTCTGCACTAGTTAGGCCTCAGCTGGAGTACTGTGTCCAGTTCTGGGCGCCACATTTCAAGAAAGATGTGGAGAAATTGGAAAGGGTACAGAGAAGAGCAACAAGAATGATTAAAGGTTTAGAGAACATGACCTATGAAGCCAGGCTTCATGAACTGGGCTTGTTTAGTTTGGAAAAAAGAAGATTAAGGGGGGACATGATAGCGGTTTTCAAATATCTAAAAGGGTGTCACAAGGAGGAAGGAGAAAATTTGTTCCTCTTGGTTTCTGAGGACAGGACAAGGAGTAATGGGCTTAAAGTGCAGCAGGGGAGGTTTAGATTGGACATTAGGAAAAAATTCCTAACTGTCAGGGTGGTCAAATATTGGAATAAATTGCCAAGGGAGGTGGTGGAATCTCCCTCTCTGGAGATATTTAAGAACAGGTTAGATAGACATCTGTCAGGGATGGTGTAGACAGAGCTTGATCCTGCCTTGAGGGCGGGGGGCTGGACTCGATGACCTCTTGAGGTCCCTTCCAGTCCTATTATTCTATGATTCTATGAAAAGCATGAGTGGCGTGGAGAGGGTGCATAAAGAAAAGTTCTTCGTCTTTTTAATCTCTCTTCATATAGGACCTGTTCTAAAACCCTAATAATTTTTGTTGCCCTTTTCTGAACATTTTCCAGTGCCAATATACCTTTTTTGAGATGAAGCGACCACATCCGTTCGCAGTATTTAAGATGTGGGCATACCATGGTTTTAAATAGAGGCATTAAGATGTTCTCTGTCTTATTCTTAATCCCTATAGCATGATATTTGTTCCAGAAGTGTTCACTGTTTGTTTATTTTTGGTCATCTAATCCAGAAGCAGCAACAATTCTATGTGCTGTAGTTGACTAGTCATAACAGCATAAATAATGAATATCATGTAAGTGAAGATATAGTTGAAACAGCTAATTCAGTAACAGATTGAAACGCCCAATATACATTTTGGTACATTTGTTAAACAAATCTGAAGTTTGGTACATTTGTCAAACAAATCTCATTCACACAAAGAATAAACTGTTTGCTACAGACAGCTAACCTGCCTCTTTTACCCATGAAAATAACCCTGAAAAAAAGCAGCAGAACAGCTCTCGCACAAGGAGGGAGGTTTGAGCAAAAGCCCCTTGCGCAAAAACGGCGGCTTATTAAGTATGCAAATGAGGCACGATATTCACCGCTTTGCCTCATTTGCGAATTTTCTTCTGCAAGGGAGCGCAGTATAGACGTAGCCCTGCAGTCTATGTATATTAATACCCAGACTTAAAATCTATGCAGGACAATATAAGTTAACACTTATTTATATCACTACAAAAGATGGTTAATGCACCTTCTGCCGGAGTTCATTGAAAAATCATATCCATATCCTAGCACATTTTTCTTGGGAAGAAAGCCCACTTTCATGAACCAAGGCAACAGTAAGTTTTAGAAATGAGCACACAGCCCTGAAACTGTAAAAACAAACAAAAAGACAGCAGAATGTATTTTCAGCATAAGTACATGACAATGTCAGGGTAACCTGACACCTTTTGTTAAGTGGATGTCAGGTTTTTACAAAGATTGAGCCTTAAGACTAAAACTAGCAGAATTTTAATAAGGGGAGCAACTGTGCCCAATAATTGAATGAATCAATTCCCAAACGAAGATAGATTTCAGGGGGGTAGCCATGTTAGTCTGTTTCAGCAAAATGAGGAGTCCTGTGGCACCTTAACAACTAACAAGTTTATTGGGGCATAAACTTTCATGAACTTTGTACCCACTTCATCACCTGCATGAAGTGGAAACTACATTTTCATAGGAATGCAAAAATAGAAGTGTTAACATTACTCTATGGAAGACCAGTTCTAACAAGGCTAATTCAAGCAGGCCCACTCCCAATGGTTGATGAGAAAATGAGACTACCAAAAGGTGGATTCTTTTGGGGGTGGGCCAAATCCACTCTGTTGAATTAGTCCTCCACATAGTAATGTTAACACTCCCATTGTTGCATCTACATACAGGCAGTCCCCGGGTTACGTACAAGATAGGGACTGTAGGTTTGTTCTTAAGTTGAATCTGTATGTAAGTCGGAACTGGCATCAAGATTAAGACACTGCTGAAACTGACCGCCAGTTCTGACTTACATACAGAATCAACTTAAGAACCCCAGGCGTCCCCAAGTCAGCTGCTGCTGAAACTGATCAGCAGCTGATTCCAGGAAGCCCGGGGCAGAGCAACTCTGCCTGGGGCTTCCTGTAGAGAAAGCCCCGTTCGTAAGTGCGGATCCGACGTAAGTCGGATCCGCGTAAGTCGGGGACTGCCTGTATATGCAATAACATGTCACTTACTTTTGAGATATTTTCTGCAATCTGGTAGCTAAATATTTATTTAGTTTTAATTTATTTATTCTTCTTTGAAAACCATGTTCTTTCGAAATCAGTTCACCTTATCGATAATTTTAAGTTCTGCTAGTGATTAAATTTGTATCTAGTTAAAGGGATGGGGACCTATGGCCCAGCATGCGGCATGTCTTGATCCGGCCCACGAGGCTTGGGCTCTCTCTTCCCACAACAGAGCAAGCCAGAGCTGGCTTGTCCTGCTATGGAGTCCGGAATCCCAAGCGTAACAGGCTGGATCAATGCAAGTTACAGGCTGCATCGGGCCCACGGGCTCTGCCTAGCAGGGGAGAGGAAGTGGTTCTTCATTCTGATGTCATCCCCTACTCCCTCTGGCTGGGGAAATGGCAGCTCAGAGAAGCTCTGGTCATGTGCTCACATGCGGTTCTACCACAGGGGAATGGTCAGAGGCCATCTGGGGGACCACCAGCCATGCAACTCCTCCCCCAACACAGGGAAGGGTCAGGACCATTCCTCTTCACCTCTGCTCTACTCTTCCCTCTCTTGCGCTGTCCTCTCCCTGCCTCTCCTCTTCCCCCCAACCAAAGCAGCGCCGTGGACCAGCAGGGCTGGTGTCAGCAGTAAAGGTCCAGTCCCCCGCCCTCCCTCTGGCAAAGCCTCAGAAGCGCGGGAACCCGCCCGGTGCCCCTGGTCTGCTGGAGACGGTCTCCAGCAGACCAGGGGCACTGGAGCAGCTTACGAACGGGGCTTTTTCGCCCCGACCTCCGGGGCGAGAAAGCCCCGTTCGTAAGTGCGGATCCGACATAAGTCGGATCCGCGTAAGTCGGGGACTGCCTGTATATCCCTTCCAAAATGTAGTTTCCACTCCATACAAATGGGTTCCAAGCCCATGAAAGCTTTTGCCCAAATAAACTTGTTAATTGTTAAGGTACCACAGGACTCCTTGTTGTTCACACCAAGATACAGTCTCATGAATTATTTAGTGGTTATATTTTATCATTTCATCTTTAGCATTAAGCAGATGGGGAACAGTATCAGTATCCTCAGGTAATGCTTATTCTCTGTAATCCTATTGATGTTCTACCCTTCCTGATGCTACCATTGCTCCTTAAGCAGCTTCCTCATTTGTAAAATCAAGTGAGATTCACAAGTTTGCTGATGCAATGATAACCAATTAGATACATTATCTAAAGTACATTCCTTTCTTGCCACAGGTTGATGCCCATGGAAATATTCTTCTTACAAGTCTGGAATTAAGGAATGAGGTTAGCAGCTCAGAAGTGTTCACAGGTATCAGTGACCCAAGAGCCACCATGTACTCCTATGACAGTGCCAGCATCCAATATAGACGACCCATCTCAAGCAGAGAACTCTACAGCAGAAGTACTTTGGACAGGCATATGGCTCATAAAAAGGGACGCTTACGGAGAAGGGCATCACAGCTCAGAGTCAAAATCCCAGACCTGACAGATGTTAATTCCATAGACAAATGGTCAAGGATGGTCTTTCCTATCACATTTATTCTTTTCAATGTAGTTTATTGGCTTTACTATGTGCAGTGATTTATGCACTGATCATCTCATCCTTAGATTTATTTTCTTCCTTCATTTTGTTAATCCTCAAGGACTGCTGTAGCTATAATGCTACATTTCCAAGGTAAGATACTCAGCCATTTAGCAGTTCTTGGTTTAAAAACCTCACAGTTTAACCATGTTCACTTCAGCATGTTATTATTTCAGATCTGCTCTTAAAGAGCAACTTCAGCAAGGGAATAAGTGCTATGCCTATAATCATCCTTTTTTTTAAAATATCTTCCATGATTTTTCCTATCTCCTTTTATCTTTGTCAGATTATTTTCCACCTCATTCTGGTAGAATAACACCTTTCAAAAAAGGATGTATAGTGTTGACAAGTGCCCTATATGAGAGTTACAGCTTTCCTACATTAATGAGACTCAAAGAAGTGGGAAAATATCTGTTTTAAGAATTATGTCTAATTTATATAGAATATTATTCAAAAGTGAGTAATCAAAGGCTGGCCTTTGAGAGTGTTTGCAGGAGGTACCAGTCAAGGACACAAGTCCCAACTATCATTTTCCATAAGGGTAGGATTTTCAAAGAAGCAGAAGAAAGATAAGTGCCCAAATCAGGATCACCAGATGGGTCAGGAAGCTTGGACCCATCACTTAAATGTGCCCGCCTACTTTTTATTGTAAGAGCAAATGATGAGGGGAAGGATTTCAGGAGGAAGAGGTGGTATGGGGACAAGACCTTGGGAAGAAGAGACCCCAGTGTCTCCCTCCCCTCGCCTACACACACACACACTTACTTTTTAGGAACTTCCATCACTCGTGGCACAAAATCCACTGAAATGGAATGCAGAAATTACAACAGAAGAGCTTTGCTGACTTTATTACAGTTTTAACAGAAAAATACACACAAGACTGTATTTTTTTAAATACAGTTAAACCTGACATTTTGTGCATATGGATTTTGTTCAGGATAAATACAGTCCAAATCACAATATTACTTCTGATCAGCAAGATTTGTAGCCAGCCTCCCAGTCTAAAATAACTCCAGAAGATGTTGTTTACAGTGAAAGCTTGCACTGCCATAGCAATTGGAAGTGAAAGTCTCCGTTTTGTAGTTGTGCATTTGATTTTTCCTTAAGTGTACTACTTTGCCCTTCTCTTTAATGAATTTCATCTCATTGTTTCAGACTAGTCATCCCATTTCTAAAGGTCAGCTTGCTTTCTAATCTTGTCCTCAAGACAATCCCTTCTGGTGTGGTGCCCTCCAAACGTTTTATAAGCATATTCTCCACTCCATTACCCAAGTCATTAATATTGACTACTACCAGACTGAGGACAGACCTGTGGAATTCTGATAAATATATGTCCCAGTTTGACAGTGAACCATTCAACAGTACTCTTTGAGTATGATCTTTCAGCCAGTTATGCACCCACCTAATACTCATTTCATTTGGACCACATATCCCTAGTTTATGAGAACATCATGTGGGACTAAGACGGGTTAGGCAAATACCGGCCCATGAGATGGATCCAGTCTGCCAGAGTTAGTGGTGGGGGCCCTCCAGGAGCTATATTTACCTCCACAGCCCCAGGGACCAGCAATCCCAGCTCCTGTTGGCCATGGATCACCATTCCTGGCCAATGGGAGTGGTGGAAAATGGGGTCCTGGTCCACGCCGCTTCCCACTGCTCCCATTGGCGAAGAACAGCGATCTGTGGCCAATGGAAGCAGTGATTGCCAGTATCTGCAGCCATGTAGGTAAATATAGCAGTGGGAGCTTGCAAGGGACTATCCTTGTCAAACTGTCACCATGTTTTTGCCCAACCCCCCGGACTAAGCTCCTCTCCTACCCACTAGGCCAGTAATTCTGTCAGAGAACGAACTTCCCCAGGATGATTTGGCAAAATCTCTGAGAGCAGCCTCAGAATTCTCCTCCCCACCAGTACCAGAGAAGCATTCATGTTCTTTCTTGTTAACCCAGTTATTTAAATCTGAAGTGATGCAGGTGTTTGCTTCCATGAACCAAATGAAGGATTGCCACCAATGAGATGCAGGGGGAAAAAGCCTAGCAGCTACCTGGCACAATGAACAGAAACTGATCACTGTTTCTAGCTCTCCTTCCCCTCAATAAAAAGAATCCTAGGGTCTACTATAGCTAATTATTACTAAAAATGTTTTAAAGAACCATTTTACATGAAAAATAACACAAATGTGTGTTTTTGTGATATTTTCTTACCTTATCTTAACACAGTTCTGCAGTGCAAGCTCTGGGGCTATGAACAGTATGGCACACTAATGTATCCCAAGTGAGGAAAAAGGACACAGCAGATTTTTTTAATCTTCAACTCAGTACAAAAATCAGCCAGTTTCAGGTAGCAGCCCTAACAAGATGACCAAGATTACACTCCACTTTCAAAAACTACAAGTAGTCCTGTGGCACTTTAGAGACTAACAAAAATATATATAGTATCAGTAGCTTTCATGGGCAAACCACACTTCAAATGAGCTTGACTCTCCAGCTTCAGTGAATTAAGTTTCTGATATTAATGGATCTACAAAACTACCACAACTTTGTAAAAATTTAAAGCTCACAAAATTTGCTGTGAATAGGTAAATGAGCCCCATGGTAGTAAACATTCAAATACAACAACTACATAACACAGAGCCACTCTATGAATACGTCCAGTTCTTGTTAGGAAAAGAGAAAGGGATGTGAAAACAAAGTAAGACAGAGACATTATTGTGCAGAATTCTGTGACTTTGAACCATGAAGTGCAGGGCTAAGAATAAGGTGTGTGAATAAGAGAGCAAGAGTCAAGTGACCCTTTTCCATCCATTTACATCCCATTTTTGCCATAAAAAGTGGCACCCTGCCATATACAATTTTTTCAATATGTTCAAGCTACGCAAAGCAGGTACAGCATTTAAATACAACAAGAATCTCTATTAATAAACAAAGAATTATCTGATCAGTGCTGTAGTCTCCTGCTTTAAAATCTTTTTTAAAGTTTAACATAAATTAGAGCTGTCCTGTGAAGCTGCAAGCTGTGTGCTACGTGCCAGCTAGTGTCTGATCCTCTTGGGTGGGCAAGGGGGAGGGCACACAACAAGAGACCTCTCCGCCCTCTTTAGACAGCCGCAGGGATGGCATGTCTGTGTATTCTATGAAGAACAGCCATTCATCACAGTGATAGGCTTCATATTGCTAGGCACAAGGGTGAGCACATCCTGGGCCTTATCACAAGGTGGCTCAGTGACCGCTCTCCTCCTGTGGCAGGTCTCAGGTACAGCTGTATCTATAAAACACAATCAAGACCTGCCTCTATGCTCCAGTCACCTTTCTGTATTACATTAAATTGGTCAAATACTGTGCTGACTTTCACAATGTTTTCACCAGTGTTGCAAGGCATGTAAATATTGCAGAATTTGTCCCAATACATGTTAAACAAAGAAGACATTACATGTGAAAAACATATCGAAAGGACTTTGAATTTTCTCTGTTGATAATGTACAAAATTATAAATTCACATATATTGATCCATCAACTGTGAATCAGTTAACCACAGACCACCACAAAAAATTAAGACTCCAATACTAATCCCGCCTTCAAAAGAAAGGCCTGCGCCCAACCCTGAAGATATCCTGTCAACAGCCTCAAAGACAATCAAATCTAGGCATTATCAGGTCAAATGACACAGCTAATCTGAACAGCAGGGGCACAAGGGGAGCATGAAAAGAAAAGAAGTTAGCAGGATACAAAGGACTTACATCATACATCTAACTCTACCCCTTACATTCCAGCAAAGTCCCTATTAGGAAGGAGGTAACACTTCCTTGCCAACTGCCAAAGCTGTTCCCGACCCTGGCACTTTGAGTGTAGAAGGTGAGGGCCCACAAGAGATTTTAAAATACCCTGCCACTAAAGGCTTCTGTTTAAAACTCCCCAAGGTCACAGATTCCCTGATCTTGGGTGATATGCTGCCACTACCAAATGCAATAACCCTTTGAGAGCAAGGAAGATGCACTTGGTAATTTCTTCCTGTGGGGTAATCCCAAACCCCTTAGGAGAGATCTTGAAAACAAACTGCAATTCCTTAATTGCTGACCTTCAGTCTCAGGCATGGGCATACACAACCTCCTGCCTTCTAGGACACAGGAATCAGATCATAGTTTTAAAAAGTAATTTTAACAACAAAACCAAGATATATTTGGTAAAGCATAATTGGTTAAGCATAACTGATTGTTAAGTGTTACAGAGTGTGACAGAATGTCCTCACCCCGCACCTCCCTTACTGCCATGCCAAACTTGTTTGGGGCACCACGAGCGGGGCTGCCTGCATGCGCAGTGTGTTCGGTGTCCGCAGCTCAGCTACAGGAGGGGGCCAGCTGGAGGAGTGTCAGGAAGGCAGGGCCGGACGGCACGCATGTGGGGAGGCTCAGGGAGCCAAAGACCAGCTGGGAGGGTGGAGCATAACAGGGTGCAGGCACAGCGTGGGGGGCAGAAGAGTCAGAGTCCGAGTGGGAGTTTCAAAACAGCCGGGAGAAGCAATCAAGTGAAGGTACGGACGGAGGGACTGGCGGGAAAAGAGACAGGGAGAGGAAGCAGCCGAGGGCAGGGCAACTTAGAGCCCGCAGGCTGGTGTGTTTTGGCAGGATGCCCCGCCAGCCGGACCAGACACTGGAAGGTCTGTGTCCTCAGGGCCCTGGGCTGGGGTCCGTGAGTGAGGGTGGGCCTGGACCCCCCTCTCCCTCAACGATCACTGGAAGCCGCAGTGGGAGCAATCCTGCTGCAAAGCAGGGAATTGACAGACTTAAACTTTTCAAACTAAAATAAAAAGAGGACATGGGAACAGGACGCTAGGGGTAGCACAGAGGAAAAAAGGGAGCTCACCAGGGGTACATCTAGACTACATGCCTCCGTCGACGGAGGCATGTAGATTAGCCAGATCGGCAGAGGGAAATGAAGCCACGATTAAAATAATCGCGGCTTCATTTAAATTTAAATGGCTGCCCCGCTCTGCCGATCAGCTGTTTGTCGGCAGATCGGGGCAGTCTGGACGCGACGCGCCGACAAAGAAGCCTTTCTTGATCGGCACAGGTATGCCTCGTGAAACCAGGTTTACCTGTGCCGATCAAGAAAGGCTTCTTTGTCGGCGCGGCGCGTCCAGACTGCCCCGATC